AAAAAAAGGGCCAACTCACCTCTTATATCCTCCTCGCTCTCTTTCTCCTGAGATGAAAGAAGCAAGAAGAAAGGAAAAGGAGAAAGAACGCGTAACCTGAACCCTGCAAGCGTCACAGGGGGCAAAGTGGATGTTTCAGAGCCTACTCCGTACGGAGTATAGCAAGTTGGTTTGGCGATGTCTCTTGTGCGAGGGTGAGGGGGGGTGTTTGGCTAGGGTTCCTTGGAGGCAATTTCATGGAGATCAAGTGGATAAGGGGGGCTGGTCCACGCCGCGAACAGCTCCACGCGCTCAGCCCCCTTTGTCCCAACAGTCCCTGTTGGCAGGCTGGCAAGCGGGCGGCCGGTTAGTCGTGACACTGTGTCATCGGTAGGTGCATGCGGGCGAAGCAATGTTCTGATGATCCGTGGTTGAAATTCGTCGTGTTGCCCGGCGGCCGTTCGAGACTCGAATATCGACGCATGCTGAAATCTCACTGGGACGGCAATAAAGATTGTGGCATCGATGCTGAAATCATGTGCGTGCGTTCGGGTCGTTGATCTGAACAGTCGCAGAGTTGAAGCAGCATGATACAGCTGGGCTGGGAAGCTGATGGAAACACGGAGGAAAGTGTGGTAAGAAAAAAAGGGTTGGGCTGGCCGGGTGGGTTGGTTGGTTATGTGTCTGAGCTGAGAGAGGTGAGAGAGGCTGGTTGGATAAAGCGAGCGCGGGACGAGACGACTTGGTTGACTGAATCGCTGTCCAGTCCTTTGTTCCGGTTCAGTTGGGTGACAAAGGGTCGACTGGTGCCAACCAAAATCGAGGTGAACATTTACGGAGTACGAAAAGGGGGAAGCATGGACCGGGACATGATGCGGCTCCAACCCCCTTCTCACCACTTGTCTTTTCTCGTCTCAATGGTCAAGATTTGGATCCTTCCTCACGTCTCTGGACAGAAATTGACTCCATAATATCTATGCAGGCCAGGTGATGTTCGATCTTGTAATGTTAACACTCCGTTGCCAGCCGTTCCCCCCCCCGTCCACGACCAGAGTGGAGGGAGTACTCGGTACGGAGTACACACATGCTTGGTATCTAGGATTGCATTCTGGAGTAAGCAGTCAGCAGCTCGATAGAGCACCTAACGCTCACTGTTGGCCGTCGCAGCGTGCAGATGCGCTGTGATGCCTCAATATTTCCGAGTCCGCCGCTTGGATTGGAGGCAACATCTCCTGGCTGCGGTCCACTTCGACCATCTCGACCCCCGACCACAGCAGCCAGTGGAGTTGCGGATTTGCATGGGCTGGACTGGGCCAGGCTCGATGCCGTTATCTGTCTGCACTTGCTGCAGTTGCGCACCATGCCCCGGCGGCCAAGGTGCATGTACTGCTTGCCAAGCTGTGATAAGGCGGTACCTCAGGGGCTCCACACCAAGCAATCTGAGGTTGCGCGGTGGGAAAAAAGGAGATAAAATCGCCACTTTCCCATCCGCTGATTGGACGAGGCTGATCCTAGCGCGTACGCTAACCTGAGGCCAAACTTCCCGGCGGCAACGCCACAGGCCTGCTGTTGCCTGGGAGGACAGCAGACTCTGTCGCTGTTCAAAATTATAAGTACCCAGCCCTCCCCCAGTCGCTTGTCGAGCTGTTTTTGCGCGGAAGTCCCGACCGGTTGGCCCTACGTACCTCCCACACACGTCGGCCACACCATTTAATAATTTTTCATCCTCCTCCCAGTCTCCCACACGTCACGCCCCACCTTTCACCTGTTGCTGGCCTCGCTCCGCTTCGCTTCCCCATCTCCGATCTCCAGTTTCTCAACTGTTTTCTCAGTTGTCTGGCATCGCCGGACGCTTCAGTCGCATCGCAGTTCCTCTTCGCACCTGCAGCACGATCTGTACGCGAATTTGGCAACATCGCCTGCCTCACTCTTTATCGCAGCGAGCCCGTGGTTCTTCGGGAAAGCGAACTGAATCGAGCACCCTCTCCAGGTTGAACGGCGTCCGACGTTTTGTCAGCGACGATCAGGCAAATAAATTCGAACTGAAATACGTTCCTTAAGCCCGTCGCATTACCCTCTCTTGTCGCAACCGATCTCTTGGTAGCCGACGAAGACAGAAAAGCGAAACCTCATCGTTATTGTTGTCGTCGCCACCGGGTCGTTGCGAGTGCGTAGACAACTAGAAGAGATTTAAAACAAAGATTCGAGCTTGCCTTGAAGTGAACAAGTCGGGTTCTATTCTGGTTGAGACCGTCCATACGACCGAGCATCTCGACCTATATCCATCCAAACTTGCGTTGCATTCTGCACCATACGTGGTCGTCGCATCGCATCAGAACCCATTGTCTGAGCACCATTCTGTAGGGGAGACATTCACTTGTTCATCTCCCACGAGTGGTAAGAGTCACCCTTTTCTCCCCTTTCCCGCCCGCTTGTACTTGTACTCTTGTCCACGATTCACAGTTTGGGAGCCAAACGGGATCTTGACTGTCACCAGTCGGCACGTTGCTAGCCGATCTGGACGCTTTGAGCCTCAGCCCTGATACATCAACCTAGTGGTTGCCTTTCATCTAACCTACCAACTGTTCTCCGGAACTAACATGATGAAGCAGTTCTGCTCAGCGCTTCTATCGCAACTTCGTTTGTCTGATCGTGATAGCTCCCAACATGGAAGGTATCCAGACGCATCCGTCCAACGCCGCACAGGCAAAGGCCTTTACTGCGCCCGGCTCGTTGTCGTTCCCTGGAGCTACCAACGAGTTGACACCGCCAGCGAGTAACGGCGACGCCATGCAGCGTCCAGCGGCAAATGGCCAAAGCGCAGCCAATGGAAATGGGGTGACTCCCGCGACTCCTGCCGCGACGCCTTCTGCCACGCAAGGTCCTAGTGGCATTACTCCTACATTGCAGTATGTATACTCTTGAGTGATTGGGCGTTTGTTGTGCTCAGTGACGCTTATCGTCCTACTTTTTAAGGAACATTGTGGCCACGGTCAATCTTGATTGCCGTTTGGACCTGAAGACGATTGCCCTGCACGCCCGAAATGCGGAGTACAACCCAAAGGTACATCCTGGCTTAATGTTGCCGTCTGAAGTACATTAGATGCTGACATTTGACCCAAAGCGTTTCGCTGCCGTCATTATGCGTATTCGTGAGCCCAAGACTACGGCTCTGATCTTCGCAAGTGGAAAGATGGTTGTTACTGGTGCCAAGTCTGAGGACGACTCTAAGCTTGCTTCCAGAAAGTATGCCCGTATTATCCAGAAGCTTGGCTTCAACGCCAAGTTCACGGATTTCAAGATCCAGAACATTGTCGGCTCTTGCGACATCAAGTTCCCCATTCGTCTGGAAGGGTTGGCTTCTCGCCATCACAATTTCAGCTCTTACGAGCCTGAGTTGTTCCCTGGTCTCATCTACCGCATGATCAAGCCGAAGATTGTTCTTCTTATTTTTGTCAGTGGCAAGATTGTCTTGACCGGCGCCAAGGTCAGAGAAGAGATTTACCAGGCCTTCGAGATGATTTACCCTGTGCTGCAAGGTTCGTTTTCACGTGCTTGTACCGTATCCCGTCGGTGTTTCTGGCACTAACAAATACCCTGTATAGACTTTCGAAAAGTTTAGACGCATCCGGTTGGTCGGGCGGCTCTCATCATCCACCTGGTGTACCAAGACTCTACATATTTGTTTATTCCGCATGTACGACTAGACCATTGGTCACGATACCATGATTGCTTTACTTTTTACCTAAGATACTCCCTAATACTTGATAGGCCACAATCAAGTATCATGGAGTTGCGACTGTATCATTTGATTTAAGCATTGCATCGGCGTTGGCAAAAGGTTCAACAGGGGAGGCTTATTGTTATCATATTAGGTTCGATGGATTTGGTTTCAGGTAAAAGAAGACTACTCATCCCGCGACACTACATAGATTGCTTGTGGTATGTTTCGGATAGGTGCGCCTCCCAAACAACCACCTTAATGCTCTCAGGGGAAACGTCGAGTTGCGGAAGACTGGAAGAAAGAAGGAGATCAAGGTTACTGTTACTGGAATTTGATATTCTTAGCTTCCAGTGACGACTGTTTTTTTGAGAAAAAGTAGGCTTGCATTCTGCATGCCGAGAAAATGGCGGAAGTATCCGGGCCTAGGGGAGCCCGTGATGCTATTGCAGTGCCCACAGTACAAACTGCCTGGGACCGCGAGACATGCGGTTATTCGCATTATCATGGTTCTCAGTGCTAGGTAGTAATGCACTCTTGTCGCCCAAACAAGAAGGGACTGGTAATAATCTCGTGACGTGTCGCCTTCGATCTCGCGTATGCGATGTCCAATGATGCTGGGGGTGCCAATGTTGTAATATCTCTTTTTTTTTACTTGCTATTATTTGGTTGGATTCGATACTTGCCATGCACACTACGGCACTGACGATTATCCATCAGCGGGAAGGCCGTGGGTGGACAAAGACCTTGACTCCAACGTCGTCCCGATATTAGGCTTCCGATTTTCCCTGGGGCCGCCGAGAGCGAGGTCGGCGCCGCGCTAGAGTGGATCCGCAAGGCCACAACGTCTGGCAGAATCAGTAACTACATGGCATGCATCCGGAAGCGACTCGAACTCGCTCAAGCGAACGGATATCAGAGCATAGCGACTTAGGCAACATATGGTAACTTATAATGAGGCAAGCTCATGTATCACTCCACTCATGTAATTAGAAAATCAAGAGTCTCTCATTTTGCCCAGCTGCCCCTACAAACGTGTGGTATGATAGCACATCTCAAAGGGAATGCCGAATTCCACTCTAAAATGCAGCCTTATTCGCTCAGACCTGACAGCCTGTAACACATAACCTACTGTCAACATGGGTCCCGGTATCAATTTCCTAACTCAGATGGCCCAAAGCGTCTTGCAGCGTGTTTGCGATGCGTGTCTGCATTGCGAGATTGAGGTAGGGACCCATCGGAAGACTCGGGACCTCTCTCCGCAGGCGCGCTCAGAAACAGGACAAGATAGATCCATCAATCATCGGGAACCGCTGATATGCAAGTTACTTGTCAAAAGGCACAGCGTAGTAGATGGCGGAAGCAATGCCATGATCACCAAGGTACTGCTTGATGATATCGCGCTGCGTAGTCCGTATGGTATATGCTGCCCAGGCAGAGTGTAAATCATCGCGAGCCCTTGGAAGCGTAACAACTCCATGCCAAAGCTGAGCATATCTGCCTGCCACTTTTTCTCTCTAATCATCTCTTCTGTGAGCAAGTCTAATTTGCAAAGCAAGACGGCTGCTTGAATCGTATCGAGCCGACCGTTCAAGCCGATGCGCAAACCGTTCGACTTGGTCTTATCGAGCCCATGCTGGCGCAGTGATCTTGAGAGCTCTGCTATCTCACCGTCGTTCGTAAATACAGCGCCTCCATCACCGTAGCGCCCAGGTGGCTTCGAGGGAAAGAAGCTTGTTGTAGTCGGACGCGCAAGCGAACCTACGCGACGGCCGCCCGAGCTCCCGCCAAAACTTTGCGCGGCGTCGCCGATAACCCAGAGCCTGTGTAGGGCGGCAGCTTCATGTAACGCATCGTAATCAGCTGGGTGACTATAAAGATTGACTGCAATGATTCCCACTGCTCGGTGTCCGGCTTTAGTAGCGGCAGTGACACCTGCGTCCACGAGAGATGGATTGATTGTCAGATGTTGCGGCTCAACATGGACAAAATAGGAGACTCCTCCAAGCAGTACAAATAGGTTCCACGGTCGCTACGTAGGACAAATCCGGAACGAGTACAGAATCCCCAGGTTGCAGCCCGAGCGCCAGCAGAGCTAATGTCAATGCCGCTGTGCCACTTCCACAAGTGACAACATGGGTTGCGCCAGAGTAGTCGGCCAACCTCGCTTCTAATTCTCGAACCTCTGGACCAAGGATGAAGTCTGTGTGGTTTAAAACTTTGGCCAGCCTAATAAAATCCAGCTGATCTTGGATCCTTACCTTTGAGAGGTGAGGTCAACCAAGGGGATTGGGACCGCGGTTTTGGGAACTCGTCCGAAAAGATGGTTACGAATTGTGATATTTTCTTCGTCGGCATGACTCGAGATAGCACGCAATTGTGTTCTGTTCGTCCGTGAGCGTACACAGGCTGGGAATCAGGCTGGTTGGAAGGCGGGATACCCGTGCAGATTGTTGCGCCGTGTTCCACCACACAAATACTCGAGTACCTAGGCACATTCCCCGTATCAGTCTCGTCAATCGTAATACTACTTGGACAAGACGACGATAACAAAACGGGGCGGTGCACTGTAATTGTTGCCTTGCAACAGTAGCGGCGGCAGGTGAGTTCCACGTTGTTCGTTGGTCCATCTGTCCATGTCCTTTTTGCACCAGACATTTGCACAGCACTGCACTTACTCTCTCTAGCTTCCCAACTGTCGCTCTATCCAGCCTTGTCTACTATTCTCATCCAGCAAGATGACATGCGAAGGGCCTGTTATCTGCGCGAAAGATGCACGACAAGATCAACAACGCCAGATTCCGTTCAGCGATGTGCAGAAGCATGTTACTGCACAAGACTGCTGGCTTGTGCTCAAAGTGAGCTACCCCTGATTGAGCCAGCAACAGAATGTGCCAGCTTTCTAAAACCGATTCCTGCAAAAGGGTGTGTGGTTTATGATGCCACCGACTTTCTCAAACTCCATCCCGGAGGACCTGGACCCGTCCGTACTCGCAGAAGCTGGAAAAGACGCCACGTCAGTGAATCCTGATAATTACTCAAGTGATATACTATTTTATCGCGGTTCAATGGGTCTGTAACGTTTGGATTGTTGCGGTCGTCTGAACTAGGCTCAATCAGCACAACTCTTGTATTTGAGTTGGCCGATAGTCGATTGGCAACCAGAAGTCCAGAGGTGCCAGCCCCGATGATGATGTAATCGAAGGACATTCTTTGAGAACTTCCTGAGGCTGTGATGACGATGAGGGGGGCAATTTGAGTCTTGCCTACGCCACCTAGACCCTCGATTACAGTCATCTGGCAGGTGTTATCATTGGTCGCCGGAGGAATTTTCCTCATTACTTCGTCCAGAATGCCCCCTCGACCAACGATATCGACATTTTTGCCGAAAGGCACGACCAAATGGGCTTTTGGAATATCTGATGAATTATCCGCTTAGCAAATGGATTGACAACTCAAAGTTGTTGGCTTGGTGCTTACCCGCTGTGGGTCGAACACGACCGGTGTGGACGAGAAAACGCGTTTCGCTGACCTTCACCGTAGATCAGAGGCATCTGAATGTCGAACATTCCGAGTAGGGCATAGGCCATAAATGCATGTTTCGTCTGGCGCTGTTCTATCCATGACATGCGTCCAAGCTCGATGGATTCACAAAGTGGAGTGCCTCGCAGTGTCAGTTGTCTTTGTAGGGGAATGTGATACACGACAGCCGCGGTATCCGTTACTTGCGTAACATCAATTCCATTTGCTACTATGTTTGGACTAGGTACTTGGTTGTTGAATTATATTGTTTGATCTTGTCCACTTCATTTAGCAACTAAAGTGAGCGGTAATGCCTGATATGTACAAATGGGATGGCCTGAGGCACCAATCTATGTTGCCTTCCACGTCTCAGCACATCGACCCTTGGGCTTTTACCGCTCCGGACCCGGCTGCAACTAATGGAAGCTATGCCATCCTCCTTCCTCATTGTCGGCTCTGGTGTCTTTGGCCTTAGCACCGCCTGGGCAATCACAAAGAGGCCACAATTTGCGAAGACCTCCATTACAATCCTTGACGATACTGCTAACGGTCAATTCCCCCCGGATGACTGCGCCAGTGTCGATTCCTCGAGAATCATAAGGGCCGATTACGCTGACCCTCACTACACCGCCTTTGCGTCTGAGGCTCAGAAGGAATGGAGGAAGCAAGGCGATGATGATCTAGGAGGCCAAGGGCGTTATACCGAGTCAGGCTTTGTCCTGACGGCATATGAACCCAAGGAACTCAAAGTTGGAACAAAGTCTGGAATGGATTATACCAAGGAGAGTTGGAAGAATTGCGTCGAGGTTGCTGCCAGGGACGGGTATCCGGCAGACAGGATCAAGGTCTTGGAGAACACCAAGGCCTTGAATGAGTGCTTGGGAACCGATACATACCCCGGTGACTGGGGTTATCTAAATACATTGTCCGGATGGGCGGATGCTGGACGGGGGATGAAATGGCTGTATGAGCGGGTCAAGGCGACTGGGCGGGTGAATTTTGTCAATGCCAAAGTCGACTACCTGGCGAACGAAGGCGATAGGGTCATTGGCGCAAAGTTGACGGACGGCAGACTTGTTACCGGTGACGTTGTTCTAGTTGCTGCCGGAGCGTGGACGGCATCTCTTGTCGACTTGAGAGGACGAGTTGAGGCGACGGGCCATGTGCTGGGATATATTGACATCAGTGACGAAGAACTTGCCCTGCTCTCCAAACAACCCGTTGCCCTGAACCTGTCATCCGGACTGTTCATCATCCCACCACAAGAGAATATTCTAAAAGTCGCTCGGCACAGCTTTGGCTACTTGAACCCGGTCACGGTCCATAATGCCTTGCCTCTGTCCCCATCATCGGAGAGACCTTCTTTTGTTACCTCTAGACCGTCAACGAGCCGGGACGGTGGTCTTGGCCGTCTGCCAGACGAGGCAGATGCGGATCTGCGACGTGGCCTTGCCAAGCTCTCTCCAATCAAGGGTCTTGAAACGAGACGCTGGAGAGAAACTAGGCTGTGCTGGTATTCTGATACCAAGGATGGCGATTGGCTGGTTGACTGGCATCCTGGATGGAAGGGCCTGTTTATTGCTACGGGAGATAGTGGTCATGGGTACAAGTTTTTGCCGATATTAGGTGACAAAGTGCTGGACTGTATGCAGGGCCAAGGCGGTGCGCTTGGCGATAAATGGAAATGGAAGAATATCGACGACGAGACTGTTGGCAAGGAAACGAATGGGAAATTCAAGGGACTTGTCACGATGGACGGAAGTCGTGGAGGAGATCCTGGCATGGTGTTGGAGGAGGAATTGGGGAAGAAATCCGCTGCCAAGGCGGCAAAGCTATAGAACATGCAGCCCTACATATAGCATAGAAGCTCATAAAATTCCTCTTTGAATATTCGAACCTGCATAATACTCCGTGCACCGACCCGTGTTGCCGTGTTGCGTCCCAGTGTCTGCCTGGGACGAGGTGGCGCCACACAGAGACATACGGAGTATATGCATGTAGCGGGGCAGCACTAGAGGCGGAACTCCGTCACGGTCCAACCAACATTACCACTTCTAGATCTGGTCCTCCAGTTGAGACTGCGGCAGCGCCGTTCGAGATCCGTACCCAGCACCCAAACATGAGGTGACAAGCGCACTTATCCCAGCTCAGTCGATATGTCTTCCGGAAAGGGACTCCCCAACTTCCCAGACTTGGAGGCGAAACTCCAAAAGCCCACCAAGCAGTCCGCCTTTGAACGACAAAAGGCCGAAGCAGAGGCCAAGCGCAAGCGCGAAGCTGCCGAAACTGCTGCCGTTTACGCCGATTTTGTAAAGAGCTTCGATCGTGACGACGACGACGACGACGACGGCGACGACAAGGGCGATGCGACTGCGCCGAGCAGCTTTGGGGGGCCTTCGCGAGGGAGACCTGGTTTTGGGGGACAGCCACCTGGGCACGGCGCCTCAAGGCGACACTTTGTGTCTTCCGGATTGAAAAGTGGACCGGGTAGCTTGGGACCGGCGCCATCGTCATTTACGAAGAAGAGGTCGTTTAACGATTTCAAGGGAGGTCCCAGAGATCGGTCAGGATTGCTGGGGTTCGAGGAGCCAGATTCTGGTTCGGCCGCGACGTCGGTTGCCAAGGTCTTTGATGCGAGCGAGGATGAAGATACGGGCGATGTGAGAGATCGAGCCGAAGAAAAGGCCACGTCGAAACCTACGCTCAGACTTGCAAACTTGCCGCCGGGGACGTCGCAGGCGGTCGTAAAGGCGCTTATACCGGATAATCTCAATGTCGAGAATGTCAAGATCCAGCCGCCTGCTCCCGCTGGGCCCGGCGGCTCGGAAAGAAAATGCATGGTTGCCATTGTCACCCTTTCGCAAGAAACGCCTGCGAATGAAATGGATACCGCTGTGAGCACGCTGCAGAATCGGTATCTTGGCTACGGATACTACTTGTCTTTACATCGGCACTTGTCCTCGGCCGTGGCGGCTTCAGCGAACCTCCCCAGCCTGGGATCCTCGTCATCTGGTGCCCATCCTTTCGGAGCAAAGCCCGTTAAACAGTCTGGAGGCCGAGACAAATACAGCCATCATCAGCAGGGATTCCACCGCGGCTTCGCACCTCCTTCATCATACGGGCAGGTCGGTGCTGGAGTCAACAGGGCGCAGTTGTTACACGTACCCGTGCGACCGCCACAGGATGTCAGGACTATACAACTGATAAACAAGACGATTGAAGGGGTTTTAGAACACGGCCCGGAGTTTGAGGCGCTCCTAATGTCGCGGCCCGATGTTCAGCGGGAGGAGAGGTGGGCTTGGATATGGGATGCCAGGAGTGAAGGCGGCATCTGGTACCGGTGGAGGCTTTGGCAGGTCGTCACAGGCTCAGAGTTTAGCCAGGTCAAAGGAAAATACGTGCCTTTGTTCGATGGTGGTCATGCCTGGAAATCACCAGATAAGAGCTTGGTTTTCGAATACACAACTTCTCTGGACGAGTTTGTATCAGATCCGGAGTACAACTCATCAGATGACGAAGACATGGACGAGGGCCCCGGTGACAACAACAATGGCGCCGAAGCAGAGAAGACGTTTCTGAACCCGTTGGATAAAGCTAAGCTCGTTCATCTCTTGGCGCGACTACCGACTACGCTTAGCAAGCTGCGGAAAGGAGACATTGCCCGAGTCACAACGTTTGCCATTACCCATGCCAGTCGCGGCGCAGATGAGGTTGTTGACATGATTGTCGCCAATGTTGAGAAGCCGCTTTCGTTGACCGCTGCCAACCCCGAGAAGAAGCAAGACGCAAGATCAAGCCATCCAGGAACAGCTACAGAAGAGGGATCTACGAACGAAGGCCCGGACACAAGCAGCGCTAGTTTGGTGGCCCTGTACGTGGTAAGCGATATTCTATCTTCGTCTTCTACAAGCGGCGTCCGCCACGCCTGGCGTTTCCGACAACTCTTTGAGACAGCCCTCCGAGAGCGCAAACTTTTTGAAGGATTAGGACTGCTGGCGGAGAAACTCGGATGGGGTCGCCTACGCGCAGAAAAGTGGAAAAGGAGTATCAATCTCGTGCTCAATCTATGGGAGGGATGGTGCGTATTTCCGGCAGAGTCGCAGGAACTATTTGTTCGAACGTTTGAATCGCCATCGTCACTCAAGACCGAGGACACAATCGACGAGTCATCAACCCGTACCAAGTGGAAGACGGTTGAGGCGCTGCCAGCCGCAAAGAGCGAGAGGAGCGCAGTAAGCCCGCCTAGCGTGGTGCCTGCTTCTACGGCGCAGGATGACATTGACGGAGAGCCTCTGGATGAGGATGACGTGATGGGTGAACCTATTGACGATGAAGATGTGGAAGGAGAACCTATTGATGAAGATGACGTTGCGGGGGACCCTATTGATGACGACGAGCTGGAAGCCGAACCCATGGATCAAGACGGAGGTGGGGGCCAAACGGCGGGCGCACCATGGCAAGCAAAGAGCCAGGATGAGAAAGGAGGTGTTAGTGGTAACCAGGTATCCGCGGGCCGAACGCAACAGCGGAAGCGACTGCGCGCCGCGGATATGTTTGCCGACTCAGAGGGGTCGAGCGAGGAGAAATAACAAACAAGAGGCTTTAGCCGCGGGGTTATATGCCCAGGATCTTCATCATCACGACGAGGCCCAGTTCGCGGGGCGTCGATACAGTTAGTTGCTATCAGAGCCGCGATGAAAAGAGATTCCACCAAAGAGATGGAATCATTGGGGTCTGTTGTTATTTATGTACTATACTCCAAGAGCGTCAAAGTAATGCAACATACAGACGGTTTCACGTCTGATCGAAGGGTTCATTCTAGAAGCCCGATCCCAATACTGAAGGGTTCAATACCGCGCGGTCCGATTGTGTCTCTCAATTGCCTTTTTTAGCCGCTTCTCCTTTCCCCAGTTCGTCTGTTCTTATCCATACGTCGTATGTCGTGACGAACTCATGCACGGGAATGGAGCCCGCATGAGCACCGAGCAGCAAGACGGTGTAGCCAAAGACTTGGACCAGTGAATTTATATTACCCATGTATGTACGTATGTGCGAATAACAAGGCGCCCGACTTGAACCCGTGCTCTGCCGTGGTGCTACGACGGATACTAGTTTGTCATCTGAACAAACGGACAAGGGACGTTCTTGTCCACTTCCCAAGACGGAAACCCGTTTTGGCGCTGTGGCGCTGTAAACGCCCAAAAATACAGCCTTGTATGCCGAAGGGTAGCTGATGCGAAGTCAAACGAATGCTTACTCGTGCTCGACTGGGATCAAGGACTGGACTCATGGAGGTGCGATATGTGTCTGGGTGGGTGTGGATCCCCTGCGGCAAGCGTCTCGCCGGTCGGCCTGAATGCAACGGTCCAATAGAAACTTGCTCATCTTGGGGCACCTGGCCATCCATGGCTTGTTGACACGGCATATGAATTGGATGGAGATGGGAAAGCGCAACCGGGACCGACCGGTTTTCTTGGCTCTGGTGAAGAGATTAGATTGTGGGAAATTGTTGGCTGGTTAGTTCTTCTGATTTCGTACCAAGTGGAAGACGGTTGAGGCGCTGCCAGCCGCAAAGAGCGAGAGGAGCGCAGTAAGCCCGCCTAGCGTGGTGCCTGCTTCTACGGCGCAGGATGACATTGACGGAGAGCCTCTGGATGAGGATGACGTGATGGGTGAACCTATTGACGATGAAGATGTGGAAGGAGAACCTATTGATGAAGATGACGTTGCGGGGGACCCTATTGATGACGACGAGCTGGAAGCCGAACCCATGGATCAAGACGGAGGTGGGGGCCAAACGGCGGGCGCACCATGGCAAGCAAAGAGCCAGGATGAGAAAGGAGGTGTTAGTGGTAACCAGGTATCCGCGGGCCGAACGCAACAGCGGAAGCGACTGCGCGCCGCGGATATGTTTGCCGACTCAGAGGGGTCGAGCGAGGAGAAATAACAAACAAGAGGCTTTAGCCGCGGGGTTATATGCCCAGGATCTTCATCATCACGACGAGGCCCAGTTCGCGGGGCGTCGATACAGTTAGTTGCTATCAGAGCCGCGATGAAAAGAGATTCCACCAAAGAGATGGAATCATTGGGGTCTGTTGTTATTTATGTACTATACTCCAAGAGCGTCAAAGTAATGCAACATACAGACGGTTTCACGTCTGATCGAAGGGTTCATTCTAGAAGCCCGATCCCAATACTGAAGGGTTCAATACCGCGCGGTCCGATTGTGTCTCTCAATTGCCTTTTTTAGCCGCTTCTCCTTTCCCCAGTTCGTCTGTTCTTATCCATACGTCGTATGTCGTGACGAACTCATGCACGGGAATGGAGCCCGCATGAGCACCGAGCAGCAAGACGGTGTAGCCAAAGACTTGGACCAGTGAATTTATATTACCCATGTATGTACGTATGTGCGAATAACAAGGCGCCCGACTTGAACCCGTGCTCTGCCGTGGTGCTACGACGGATACTAGTTTGTCATCTGAACAAACGGACAAGGGACGTTCTTGTCCACTTCCCAAGACGGAAACCCGTTTTGGCGCTGTGGCGCTGTAAACGCCCAAAAATACAGCCTTGTATGCCGAAGGGTAGCTGATGCGAAGTCAAACGAATGCTTACTCGTGCTCGACTGGGATCAAGGACTGGACTCATGGAGGTGCGATATGTGTCTGGGTGGGTGTGGATCCCCTGCGGCAAGCGTCTCGCCGGTCGGCCTGAATGCAACGGTCCAATAGAAACTTGCTCATCTTGGGGCACCTGGCCATCCATGGCTTGTTGACACGGCATATGAATTGGATGGAGATGGGAAAGCGCAACCGGGACCGACCGGTTTTCTTGGCTCTGGTGAAGAGATTAGATTGTGGGAAATTGTTGGCTGGTTAGTTCTTCTGATTTTTTTTTATTTTTTATTTTTTATTTTTTATTTTTTTTTTTGATGAGAAACTCAGGTACTTCAAACACACACACATGGAGATGACGTCTCTCCATCGCCATCTACTTAAGTACACAAGGAGGGTGTTTCGGAACCACACTGTCTGGATACGCAGGCAGTTTCTTGACGCAGCAACAGATGGTATGAAACGGATATGCTCATGCCCTTCTGGCCCAATATTTGCCCGAGTGTGGTACAGTGGGTTACAACGCTGTCAATCATGCCCGGAGGAGCACACCCTCTCGAAGCTTGGAATGCTGCAGTTTGCAAATCTGCGGCGAAAGGCCTACATTCTTAGTACATATCTGTATACGATTAGTAGAGAGTGTACGGGCTTGGCCCATATTAACCAACCAGGGGCCCGTTGAAGTTGTTGACTGAGTCTGGGTTCCTGAGCCACGACGTCTTGCCCATTCGATCTGAGGAGCGTGCTTGGATCAGGCTTGCCAATACGAGGTCAAAGTAGTTAACTAATCCGTAGACTGTGTGAGAAGAGCGGTAGGGTCTTTTTCATCTTCTTCTTTGCTTCTCGATTCTGTGAAACGAAACAAAGAAACAAATAAACAGGACAACTCGTTTCCTATGATTGTTGGTGGGGAGCGCGCTCTCGTTGTGCAGGTGCAATCCACACCTGTACCCGTCGGTTTAGAGGTATGCGGTCTGTGCTTGTCGAACCAATCGGCCTGGATATCGCATCATACGAGGATTTTTAAAGATGGATGGAGTGCTCGTGCTTTTTTTTTTTTTTTTTCCTGGGCAAGGTCCATTCGCGTTGAGGCGACTCCAGTGGCTCCAGTGACCTGCCACAAAGGCTGAGAAGCGCGGGTGTTTCAAAGGGGGTACCACGGGCTTGGGGAAGGTTGGCATGTGTCACGGGTGGTGAATGACCCAGACAGAGGATGGCCTCGATGGGCTTGATAACCTTGCTGGCTGAGCGAGTGGGCGCCAGTGGCTTGTGCATAACGCACTGTAAGTTTGTATACTCGGTAGGGATGCCAAGATGGTTGGCGTGTTGATGGATCTCGAGATGAAGTTTGTGGTGTTTGGTGCTTGATGTCTGGTTCAAATGTCAATGTCAACGTTCAGTCTAAAAGTAACTCCGTGATGTCTGGTGTTTGAGCAGCTGGAGCCTGGCGCACGTCCCGTAAGCGTGGGGCTGCGGTCACTTGAGGGCTCTGGAATAATCAACCATGGACAGATCAGCTGCTTCAATGTTGGACGAGGATCAGGTGTACCAAGCACCTACTGCCAGGCTCTGTACCTTCTGGCATGGCTTTCGAATGCAGGTGTCTGTGAAGATTGGACGTCTTTCTTATCCCGACCGCAGACTCGGCTCACATGCCCCGCAAGTGGGGCGCATGTCCCCTGGAGACGGCTCTTTAGTTGAGGTTTCTACGGAGTTATACCAGACTATTTACAGCTGGGTTGGCCTACCTGCCCTAGCGACGCCTCGTGGCTACGCGGAGTCAAATCCGAGAGTGGGCGGCAGTACTCCGTACATTTAGCAGATACTGCCGAGATGGTCAGGCGAAGCATTGGTGGACTTGAGGAGGAGTTGGACATTTTTGAAAGCCAAAACGGCCCAGTGCCAGTTCAAGTCCAGATGTCCACTCCAGCCCACTTCCTCCCACCAGAACGATAGTGCCTACTACTTACGTACTCCGTATCCCTTTGAGTGTGCGCAGGTGCCAGTTATGTATATACTCCACTTTTCGCTAGTACTTGCTAAGTACTTCGTTTATAGCAGGGTAGCCACTTATATGCTTGTAACTTTTAGTATATAAGGCACTTTATTTACCATATATATTCTTAGGTGACTTAAGTATCTTTTAATCTCATGTCTTTAATTGGTTAACATCCTTGGTCGTTACCAAAATGGCACCTGCGCACACTCAAAGGGATACGGAGTACGTAAGTAGTAGGCACTATCGTTCTGGTGGGAGGAAGTGGGCTGGAGTGGACATCTGGACTTGAACTGGCACTGGGCCGTTTTGGCTTTCAAAAATGTCCAACTCCTCCTCAAGTCCACCAATGCTTCGCCTGACCATCTCGGCAGTATCTGCTAAATGTACGGAGTACTGCCGCCCACTCTCGGATTTGACTCCGCGTAGCCACGAGGCGTCGACTGCTTCTTTGAACATCATTCTACTATTCTTCTCTGGGACCCTGTGTCTCGCATATGATCTTGGGACACGACTGGTTATCGCCCCGAGCCTTTCTGCATCCCGAAGTCGCGCCGCAACTTCTCCCTCTCTTTCGCACCCCAGACCGTGAGTCTTTGCCGAGCGCTTTTCATTCGCTGTCGGACCATTCGAGGCAATTTCCGGAGCCAGAATCACTCACCACGACGACGACGACGACGAAGAACGCAGTGCATCACCACATTCTTGGGTAACCTGCCGAGTACATCTATGCCGCATCTGAACTTTATCGGCTCGACGTGTTAAGTCTCCGGACGCCGGACGGACGCCGGCTAGCTGCCGGCCGCCCTGGCTCCTTTGTCGCGATCTTTATAGAGTTTAAACATCCGGACGACTTCGTCAATTAGGCGCCTCCGCAATGCCTCTTATAAATGGGCAGAAGATGGCCTGGTACGTAACCTATTGAATATTTCAAAGCCGCTGCGTCGGTGATATCTTGCCCACATCACACAACTTTCCCCGTCGCCCACACAATGGTAGCTAACGCCATATATGTAGCGAGCCTTGCATTCGTGGCCATCGCTCAACGAAATGCACACATGCTAATGAACGGCTTATGGTTCCAGTACGGAAGCCTGGCCGCCCGTTAAGCTCCTGTCCGCATCCCTCATCGCGACCTTGCTCGTGCGCCGCCGTCACCGCCGCCATACCCAGGAAACAGAAGTGTCGATGCGGAACGTCAGATCCAGCCGCAGTAGTTGAGACCAAGTCGGAGAAGGACGCATCGAGCAGCAGCAGCGCGACGACACCCCCTAGCCCCTCCAAATTTGGAAGCGCTGGCTTTCGAGTCCAAAAGCAGGGCGCAAAGGCAGGGCCGAATAGGAAACAGTCCATCGATATCGCAGGACTTCAGAGGATGGACGCCAACCAACTCAATGTCTTGCCGCCTTACAGTGGGGTGAACCAACCGCAAATGAACACTCCAAACGGTCCTTCGACGCCCATGTCTGAGGCGTCACTTTATAGCTCCATGGATATGACGCCAAGTGATGGTTCCTTTGGGACAGAGGCCGGCATGTTCACCATGTTTCCATACGCGATGGGTGCCCCTATGATGCCGCCCGGTCCCGTGAGAGTGCCCCCCACCGGTCAGAATGCATCCTCAGTAAATGGTTCTGTTAAGCCAGAATCAGAGACACTGAAAAGCTGCTGTGGAGGGAGCAATGGTGTCAAAAGCCAGAGGGATGATGCCTCTTCAGTACCTGCGCAACCCCCATCTGCGCCGAGCGTCAATGGTAATGGTGGTCGTGAACCTAAACCAAAGAGCTGTTGTTCGTCCACACCATCCTCATCTGGTCAAGAAAAGAAGCCAGTAGGCATTATGCCTCCGCCTGGCGTACCTTTCCCGCCAAACGGGATTTTAATTCCACCCTTTCAACACCCCATGGCTATGGCAAATGGCATGTATCCCTTCTATGCCCAGCCCAATATATTCAACTACCCCCCGCATTATGGATCTTATTTGCAGCCCCTTCAACCCGAGCAATGGAGGCAGCTTATGGCTGCTATGGCTTTCCAGCACGGAGGGGCCCAGGCATTTGGCATGACAGGTTCTATGCCAATGCAACAACCCCCGCCTACACCGAATGGATCATCTTGGACGTCACATCAATGCACCTGCGGCGATGCCTGTCAGTGTATTGGATGTGCAGCCCATCCTTACAACGACGCAACGCAAAATTATGTACGCTCTGCTTGGTCTTCCATGATGGACGAGGCACAAAAATCGCATGCCCATACAAACAGCAACGGATCTCACCTGAATGGCCAGACTAACGGTATTAACGGCGCGAATGGAGAGGCGGAGGAATCGACCAAGACAAGTAGCAATGGGACTACAACCCCGATCAAGGCGAATGCGGATGGAACATGGTCACCTGCGGCCCCTCAAACACCATCCGATGCCGCTTCCGGCCTGAGCGAGGAACAGGCTTTATCTGCTAGTGACTTTTTCTTCGTCAGCTACCCCTTTGGCGATACATGCGCCGGAGAGACGTCAAGCTGTCTTTGTGGTGACGACTGCCAGTGCATTGGCTGCACGATTCATAATAATACTGATGCGGCGTCAAGCACCGACGATGCTGCAGCATAAACTAACGAAAACGATGACTATAAATGTTTATACATGGCCAACTATGACAGTGATGCGATATATGCGAGACGCTATCGACCAATGTCAGCACTTTGAAAGCTTATAGGAAGGACGGTGTAGTTGAATTTATGAGGAACAGATTAGGAGGTTGGACATATATGAGGACTGTCAAGGTTTCGTTGTAGATACCCGAGAACCCCAAACAATGGTGGGCTATAGAAAAAGGCGGGCTTGTTAAACATGCCATGTCGTGAGACGAACATGAAAGAAGAGAAGCTCTGCTCAACTCAAAACACTCTTGAAGTTCTTTATAGCCCTAATATGCAGGTACGAAATGTGTGCTCCGTCTGTGTTTGTAGATGATTATGCTGTTACATAAATATCCGGACTACTTCTACAAGCTTGATATCGTGAAGACGATCATCTGAGATTCTCGCAGATCCACCTGCCTGGTGCGTTTCCAGAGTACATTAGCAGCCTCACAGTGATGGGAAATATGGATAACGGAGGAGGCTGTGGAAAATACTTCTGGGAGTAGTTGTCGGAACGGGACACAACTGCTTCAATTTTCTCCCCATCTTGGTTTTCTCGTGCGAACAGCTTGGGTGCTGCCGTGTTGTCAGAACGGCTCACCAGTTTGTCAAAACTTACTGTAAGCTTATAAGCGACAGGTGTATTAAGCTTAAACATCAATTGATCGAATCTGGCCAACATGTGTAGTGGCTTATTTAAGTGGTTGAACAGTTGGCGTGGCCAAGTTTGTCTGGCGGGGTGTAAGGCGACCGACCTACCGGCCAGTGCAGGAAAAAAAAGAAGTGGGACAATATCTTGCCATATTCAGAGCTTCACGTCAGACACCGTCCAACGTTCACTCTCATCACCGACGACTTGCTCAAAATTCCACGCGGGGAGTCTGGGGCGCATAGGCACAGATCAGTATAAACGGAACCATATAAAATAAAAATCTAGCACCCAGAGATACAGACATATCTAGCGGACCGGCGAACAGCTCCCTAGCAGTCATGCCCAATTCGCGTGCAGAAGATTGGACGCACCACACCCATCCAGATCGCGAGCATCGCCGCCGCGACAATCGCCATGGAGATCCATCAAATGATTATAAGCCATCTCGAGTGAGGTCGCGATCGCCAACTAGGAGATCAGAGCGCCGTAGTGCATCGCCAGACAGAGAGCCGCATCGAACACACCGGTCACGCAGGCACCACCATCACCGCCGAGAGCATCATCGGTCTCGCCATGCATCGGAAGCCCTGTCCGGGCCTGTGGCCTTGCCGTTTTCGGCGCGAATGCTGTCCAAGTCGGATTACCGCACGTTTGAGCCGCTTTTTGCGTATTATCTGGATCTGCAGAAGCAGAAGTATCTGGAGGACATGGACGAGCGGGAGGCCAAGGGCAGATGGAAGAGTTTCGTGGGGAAATGGAACAGGAACGAGCTTGCGGAGGGGTGGTACGATCCGGACATGTTTGCGAAATGCACGGCCAACTATACAAGACCGGAGGGGGATGTGAGCGGGGAGGAGAGGAGAGACGAGCCGTCAAAGAAGATTCCTACGGGGCGAGAAGAAGCGACACCTCGGGCTGGGAACAACAGCGATGACGACCAAGACTACGGCCCGGCGCTGCCGTCGTCAGATCCCCGGCGCCAGGTGGTGGGCGCGAGGACACCGACGTTTCAGGACCTGTCGCTGCGAAATGAGCTTGTGGAAGAGCAGAGGGCGGCGGACCGCGAGGAACTACGGCGAGCTCGAAAGGCGGATAGGGCGGTTCAAAAGGAGCGCCTGGAGGAGCTGGTGCCGCGCGCGGAACCGGGCACGCGCGAGCGGAAACTGGAAAAGAAGAAGGAGGTGAACGACAAGATGAGGCAGTTTAGGGATAAGAGTCCCGGGTTGGAGGCCGGCGATGAGAGGGAGCTTATGGGCGGAGGGGACGAGCTGGAAGAGTATAAGAGGATGAAGGAGAGGGAGCAGAAGCGCAAGTCGGAAAGACAGGTACAGAGGGAGGAGTTTGAGAGGGCCAAGAGAGAGGAGATGGAGGAGAGGAGGAGGGCGTGGCAGGAGAGAGAGGAGGGCACGGTTAGTATGCTGCGGGAGTTGGCGAAGCAGAGATTTGGATAAAGAGGCTCATGGTGTTGGATATGGTCTTTGTTTTGTGCAGACAAGCCATCTTGTTGGTTGGAGTTTGAAGACTGCACCGGGTACCTGGCTGCCACCATCTGGATCTAGCCCTTGCTTGGTCTACTATCATTTCCTGTTATTGAAGGAATCAAACTACTTGTCAAAGCGTCGGCACGCTCGTCGTGTGGGTGGTTTGCCAGCAAAGCGGTTGCGAGTCTATGGAAACCTGTCACCGCAATACAAAATTACCTCCGCTGCTTCTTCGAAAAGGAGCCGAAGGAGCAGCTCATCACCTCACCATTGGCACCATCCTCAGACACCCTGACGAGAACGGTGCTCTGCATGGCAGCAACGCCAGGTTTCCGCACATGACGAGCACTGCGGGCGCGATCATGCCGCTTCGTCGGCCAGTTCTCCGTCCGCCTTTTGTCAGCAACGTGTTACTTCTCCCGAGATGGACTGAGTCAAATCCGATATTCGCAGAATGCAACCTTGTAGTGCAAGGTATCCTCTGGCTTTGGCTGTCCCCAGGATATTGGCGAACTAGTGCAATGTTTCATCTGACCAAGCCACACATGTAATATGACATTCAACAGGAGTGAGGCGACTGAAATGCTCTCCTGTTAGGGAAAAGACATGGTAGAGCAGTCCGTAGGTAGTCATAAGGTCTAGGTTGCCGCGTTCCTCTATCCGCCCCAATCACGGCCTCCCAAATGGTTCCCATCTGATAAAAGATAAAAGCCACGCCGCAGCGAAAGGTTTGATTACGGACTTGCCCAGTTAGAAACTGCTGGTTTAACTGGACATGGTTGGCCGTCGTCTCCACTCTCTTAGGACCAAATTTTTCCACCCTACCGAATATGGAGTTGTGCAAATGTCTCTTGACACAGACGGTTTAACTTGTGGCACGACAAACAGACAAGCCCGTTGATTTTTTTTCTTCTTCTTGGATTCCCGTCGGCAACCAGTTTCGGACAGGGGCCCAAGGTTTCATTCCAAGTTTTGTGGCTTTCGGCAGCCCGGGTTGGCGGGTTAATGAGGGTTGTTTTGTGCGCCAACAACCCTGCGGGCGTGATCTACGGTGCAGGACCCTAGTCTGAGAGTATCCAGACGTACATACAGAGGACGTGTTGCTGTACATTCGGGAATTTTCCCCAGGCTCTGCCGTGTCACGTTGGGCAAAGAACCGGGAACGTGTCAGGATTGGCATGTCCCGTTTTCATCGAGACCGTGGACCGCTTCGACATACGATACGGAGCACGGTGCAAAATAACCCAGCTCCGGCGTCTGATTTGAGCGGCCATGGAGGGAGATGAGGCCTACGGCACGGGGGGTCTGATGGATGACCCCGAGGACTACTATCCGCCTTCACCACCGCCTACGAAACAAATCTTTGGCATGCAAAATGGGAAGCAAGTGACGCTGCATCTGGTCGGGCACAGTCCCACAGAGGCGCACCATCTGTGGAATGGGGCCATGTTCATATCGGATTACTTCGAGCAAGACCCTTCGAGGGTCGAGGGCAAATCCGTCCTCGAGCTGGGCGCCGGGGCTGGTTTGCCGTCGTTGGTTGCGGGCATCCTGGGAGCCAAGAAGGTGGTCATGACGGATTTTCCAGACCCCGACCTGGTGGCCAACATGCAAAAGAACATTGACGAATGCAACGCGACAGTTGAGCCCGAGGGCCATATTGAGCGGACAATCGACGCCGCTGGGTTTGTTTGGGGCGCCGACCCGGAGCCCCTTCTTGCTAGACTTGCGCCTGGATATCAAAAAGGCGACCGCGGTGACGGCATGCAACAGAGGTTTGACGTCTTGGTCCTTGCGGATCTGCTGTTCCGACACTCGGAGCACGGGGCTCTCGTCAAGACCATCAAGGAGACCATGCGCGCGTCGCGGGATAGCGCCGCCTACGTCTTCTTCACGTCTTACCGCCCGTGGAAGCAAGATCTCGACATGGGCTTTTTCGACGTTGCTCGGAACGCGGGTCTCGAGGTGGAGCAGGTCTCCGAAAGGAAGTTGGAGAAGCCCCTCTTTGAAGGAGATCCGGGGGACTTGGATGTGCAAAAGACTGTCAAGGGGTTTATAGTGCGGTGGCGGGTTGAAGATTGTAATAGTTGAACATGTAGAAAAGTTCTTGTTTTGGTTGCCTTGTGGCAGATACATGACTCTATAGACGCTTGCGAGTTTACATGTGGCCCTAGCTTACGGAGTAGTTACGAACACTAATTGATGTTGTGGGTTCAAGTAGAAAGCTCTGGGATAGTGAAAATATGAAGAGCAACAAAGAGGAAAGGCAATAACTCTTTAAGAACCCTTACAAATTCTTGGTTAGAAATTATAACATCATCAGCTGGCTATCTCCATGACATAGCATTGTATATTGTGCTTCATCAATCCAAGTTTGCCGCAAAGCCACCTGAGCGTATGCCGCCCCAGACAATAGCTCAAGGACCACTTGTCGCCGTCTGCTGTGGAGGCAACTCGGAGAATTACGGAGTACAAAGGATACTTGAGTCAGAGTGTGGACATGTTTTGTTAGCCTTTGGCTTGAATGATACGTTACGCTGAAAGTCACAGTGTGGAGATGATGATATCTATACGGCGGCTGAACTGTATATGACCTAGCCGATTCGTGGCAGCAAATAGGCTTGTCAGGCACAGTGAAACAAAGCTCGTTTAGGCCGTGCTCGACACCCGGTTTGGCAGTTGTCGTCACTCTGGCGAGGTTTCAACACTGTGGTTTCTCTGGCTGTGGAGAAATAGACAAATGTAGCAACCGTTGAACAGACATCTTGTGTGAAAAGGTCGTCGAGACGGGAAAGCCCCAACTAGTGTGGCTCCCGTCGGGTCGTCACGGAATTCTGGGTCGAGCCGTCGTCGCCTGGAGATATGGGATACTGATATGATCCCCATCGTCCGTTTCTTCTTACCCGTATATATTATTAGTTGCTCCTCTCCCACTCCCAAGATGTAATTTGTGGAAACCCAAGACTTTTCTCCCCGTTCTCAACCCCGCAATACCTCCTCCGTATCCATTTCCTACGGTCTTGGAGATAACCCCACATTGTATCATCATTAATATAAAAAAAAGGCATTCCAGTCTATCTGGTCATATGCCCGCCCAAAAGTCAACCGGCCATCTGGCTGAGTTGGAGAGAGATGGATTCGTTGTTGTTCGAGGCATTGTCACCGGTCAGAAGCTTGAGGAACTTCGTGAAGCTAGTCTAAAGGTCGAGAAGCTTGGACGGTCTGGTCAATGGCCACACATTCGGACCGTTGGCAAGCAGTTCCCTCCGTGGACCTTTTCAACTGAGAAGGGCATCTGGGGTGTCCAGCATCTCATGAACCCTGATCTGCCCGGCCACGAGATCTTCACCCGTCAGTACTTCTCTGAAGAAATCTTGAGCATCGTCCGTGAACTTCTCCAGTGCGACGACAACGAGCTTGTCATGGAGCTCTTCAACATGCTTGTCCGACCAGACGAGCACTTTGAGCTTCGGTGGCACCGGGACGATATCCCTGCTGAAGCCTCTGCCGAGGAAGAGATGGAACGTCTCGGCCGTCCTGCGTTTCACGCTCAGTACAATTTTGCTCTTTGGGAGGATGAGTCCCTCGTCCTGATCCCCGGATCTCACAAGCGCCCTCGAACCGAGACCGAGCGTAATGCTGATCCTTTTGAGAAAGTTCTACCGGAACAGCTGGTTGTTAAACTGGGTCCTGGAGACATTGCCTTCTACAACAACAATATCCTCCACCGTGGTGTCTATGACTCGAAAAAGGACCGTGTCACTTTGCACGGCTCTGTCGGCCACTCTGGTGGTAGTAAGCTCCGTGCCCGCAACGTCTTACAGCATGGCATTGGCGGCTATGTCGACAAGGTTGACTTCTCTAAGCTGAGCGATGGTGAGAGACAGCGGGCTGAGGAAATGCGCGCTAGACTGGTTAAATTGGGTAGTGAGAGTGGTGACGTCGGATATTCTCTACAGGGATAAGTGATGGATTCGACCATGGGTTCAAATTCTGTGGAAAAAGTTGAGAAAAGACCTTTTTTTTTTTGTTTTGGGGTGGGGGGAGACTTGGAACAAGTATGCGTGATGGTTTTGATAGGAAAGGGGTCTGTATTTAGAAATCTCACATACGGGGGTGTCATAATTCTTAGTTGTCGGCTACATGGTTCATATATTCAAGAACTACAAGTATTTCGAGTAGTCCATATTGCCAACCGTAATCTTGCGTAGTTAGTAGGCTCTCGCGGGACAAACCGAGGATACCTGAGGAGGAGGGCTGGGCTTGTGTATGCTTACATTTTATAGCATAGTCTAACAATATGTGTTTTTATTCATCGGAATAATCTCCTTTCCCCTGATCGGTGTCATGCTATCGCAATATCTCTTTTTAACGTGATATTGGTACTCGTGTGAGAGCTAGCGGTGCAAGTCGGACATGGTGGGATTGGTAAACTTGGTTGTATTGCAGAAGCGCTACAACACACTTTTCCCCAAATAGAACACATACTTACCGAAATGTACCGACGTGATGTGCTACGGATTATTGTGTAATATTCCCATAGTACCGTAAGCTTTGGTGTATAATGGGTAATGAATAGGGGAATATTCATCCATCAATGGCGCATGTGGATTGGTTTCATATCCTAGCACCTAAGCTTCAGAATGGTTAGGTTTTGTTAATGGTGACAGGCCATGTTTATCGGATGCTAATTGATCATGAGACATGCGCAGCGTGGGTTAGGCAAATACGTATTAACACCGCATCGAGATGAACTGACGGAAGACGACCTTGAAATCTTCGACGTCGGGGACGGCAAACTATGCACCTGGCGGCAAAACTTACTCTATGCGAGATGCTCACTAGCGACAAGCAAGTAGGTGGAGATATTTGCATCGTCGTATTGGAGTCGAAAATCCTGTCTGGCCTAGCCAGTCCCTCCATATCGAGAATAGATCCTAAGTCGTCTTGGTTCCAAGCACGCCGACGTTTCCGCTCCTACGTACACTTGTGCCAGGTCATCAGGGGGAAATTGGCTCTTGCGCCGCATGGTAGTTATCATTAGCTTGTTCAGCGAGAATGCTATGCGGGGGGTCGGGTGTTGCCTTGGGGTCGCATTTCGTCTTCTCTGTGCTGTTTCCTATGCACGGGGACCATGCTGGTCTTGAGCCATGCATCGCGCATACATTTTATCTCCCCTCTCGCATTGGGAAGGTACACAGTCGTATTCTGTGGAAACATGGACTTGGGGACGTGGCAGTCTGAGGCAATGTGATGTGGAATATCCAATAAACTTGGATTTGCTGACTGTATTATTGTAGGGCAGACTCCGGAGTGAGAGTGTTTCTTGATATTGAAAATCAAGAGAGCGATTCTAGGTTGTTAGTAAGGAATGGAATGCGCGATGGCCACACCTGCCGTTAACAGGTTCTTGCAAAGTAGGTAGGCACCTAGGCTCGGCCTCTGATTCTGGTCGGAGCATACTAGTGGCTATGACAAGACAGGACTTAAATTGTCATAGGCAGTTTATGAGGCTAATGAATTGAATAAAAATTATGATAACCTGTCTTGTGATGGATGATGTGCGTGGTAAATGTCACCAAGAAACCCCTCGGCGCGCGAAGCTAGATAGAGTCAAGACTCAAACTGACACAACATGCAGGTTTACAACACTATGGGGGAAGGAGCGATTGCCAGCTTCACATGACTCGACCGATACCACACCATGTGCTTTCCCGGCTCGTCTTGGGAAGTTCGTAAACGTAAACCATGTCGCATCTTTTATCATACCGCGCCGACAATGATCAATGCTAGGATGACGCCTCATGGCCGACAGATGTGAGCAATGCCCAAGACGGATCTGAGGCTCCTCATATCGGCTGGTTATTGCACCTGCGAGGTGCTGCCTGGGAGCTCAGGGGGCTGCACGTTTGCTAAGCCTGTTGATTTCCATCTGACAGCATCCGCTCTGAGACTATTGGGACACGCAGCAAATTGAAATCGTCTAACGGCCACGCGTATGCCTGTCTGCCACCAATGCCTAGCCGCAGACGCCCCGCGTTTCCTTCTTACAATAGCTAAGACAAAAAACAATGACGAGCGTTGAGGACACCCCGCTGACGCTGGAAATGGTCCAAACTGCGACATACTACAAATATGAGGCTGTGGGATGACGTGATTGGAACCGAACGCACCTTCATAGCTGCCACTCAGAAGGGAATCTTGGCTCAGCCAACTCGGAGGCCAGGTTTGGGCAGCTGGCCCCCCACGCTATGACAACAAAGTCGACGCAATCTGCAGTGTGTGAGACTGTGAGTAATGTTCAGAATGTACCAGCTAACTCCTACAATATCACATCTTGGCACAGCTAATTGTTTGAACATTAAAGGCCCGACCGACATACCCTCGCCCTGCTCTATGTACACTAGCTGCGATGATGCGGTAATATCAGAGCGGCGTCATGTGTGTGATGAGGGCCAAGGCTTGATCAACATCAACTTCTTTAGGACGCCGTTAGAGATGTCTTTAGAGGAGAGAAGAACAGCGTAGTGGGCGAGGACAGCACACGACCTCCTGCATTGTGAGCCTGAACCGCCAATCTCAATTCGCCCCTTATCAACGGGCTTACACTGGTTGTCTACCCCGTCGTTATAGCTCGTTTTCAGAGGAGGGGAGCGTTGCACCAGCCCTTCCACAGACTATCTAATAATAACTAACACCTTGCAGACAAGGCTAAACTTACAAAGTACTGCGATCGACACACCTCAGTAGGGTCAGGGTGTCGGAATAGCTGTTTCGTCGCAAGGCCGGAGCACCAGAGAGCCTCAGTAATACAACATGGATCCTCATCGCCGCCCAGTTTTTTCTCCGTCGTTCATATGTGCTAAATCGTTGTCGATGTTGGAAGGTTCTTGAGAACCCTCCATCCAGTGCACCACGCAACATGAGCGCCACTGCATGGGGAATTGTCAGTACGGACGCAGATTTAGCTTTCCGACGGCGCTAATGGAGGATGGAAAGACGAGTAAGCATGCAAGCCCGGCTTCGTGACCGGCTCGCCGGTATTGGAGCAGTTCTGCAGAGCTCGGTGTGCCATTGTGTCCCGAGACTCGTTTGGCTGCGGCTATGATGTGCTCCGTCAGTGCGGTCAACACAAGTGGATGGCATCGTTGCGAGTTGCCAAGTGAGGCATGCCTGCATCGCTGTCCTGTCCCAGAATACGGTCGCACATTAGCTAAGCTCCGCAAAATCCTGCCAAATTAATTTTTACTACTTAAAATTTACTTAAAAAAATATAAGATAATTTTAAATAATTCTCTTAAAATCATATAATATATAATTTTTATTTAAAAATTTTATAATTATTTTATTTTAATTTTTTAAAATATTTTTACTATTAAAAATTATATATTAGGGTTAGGGTTATCTTAGGGTTATTTTTAAAAAAACTTAAAAAACTTAAAAAATAATAAAAAATAAAATAAATTATTAGACTTATAAATATATTTAAAAATATTAAAACTTAATTTTTTATGATTTTTATAAGATTTATTTTAATAAAAAGAGTAATAACCCTAAAGTGTAAAAATCAATTTAGCGGGATTTTGCGGAGTTAATCTAATGTGCGACCGTACCAGAACGCACGCCGTGGCTCAATAGGTACCCACCTTCTCCAATGCGGAGTTGACCCCAGGTTTAGCCCCATGGGGAGAATACCCGATTGTGCCCCCACATGAAGCTTGGATATTGCAGGCTGCAGCAAAGATCCCTAGGCGCCGGGCTCTCCGCATCCAAGAAACAGCGACAATTGGGACGCGTTCCCTACGAACTTCCGAGAACATCGTCTCGCCTGCCTCATGTTGTGGATGGTTCTTTGCACACAATCTGGAAGCAAGCTTTCCCACACCCCCAAGGCTGGCACATGGCATTTGGCATTTGAGCGTAGGCATACGCATGGCCGCATGGGTAAGGACATGGACATGGGTGTTTGCACCGCATTTTGGCGGCTTTGCTCCAACATCAAATAAGTCAAGAACAGGCATTTGCGGCCCTCCGGAAATTCCTGAGTATCCCCTGATTTTCCCATGCTGATCAACTTGGCCCTTACCCAATGCTCTGATTTTGCGAACCTGTTTGGCATCGAATGTTGGCAGTGCCATCTCCGTAACCGCTTTATTCAAAGCCCTGACGCATGACCGCGCTGGCCCCCCCGCATGGCCGACAGA